GGCATCACTCATGCCACATGGTGCTGTGTCATCAACACAAGTGGGACCCAGCCCTTCCCTGGGGGCAGCTTTCAGGATACCTGGGGAGAGCAGAACAGGTTGATGGGCTCAGGGGTGGGGCTGGGCGGACCAGGGCAGTGTTCCACTGCCAAGGGGTGAGCTGAGGCTGTCCTGGAGGATGCAAATGGCAAAGAGGAGGGGAAGCCTAGGCTGAGCACCTGGGAAAGAAGGTGCCAATTCTCTGCCTCCGTTTTGAAGTGGAACCTGAGGTCCTGGGTCTGTGGGCATGAGCTGGTGAAGGCAACATCAGTCAGGTAGACTCTGCCACCGTGTGGCAAAACTGAGTAGAAGAAAGGAAAAAAGAAGCCGCAGAATTGCCGTGCCAGGGAAGCGGCAGCCCCATTGTCTGGGCTGAGCACTCATTGGTTCACAGCTTGGGGCAGAAGCTGGTGAGGTCCCAGGTGAGGCTGACCCATCCAACAGCAGGGCACAGAGAAGGGAACCACTGGCAGGAGTGAAAGGCAGGAACAGGTGTTGTGGGCGACACCACAGGACACCAGTACCCATCTAGCCTCCAGACGTGACCTCCTCCTATTCATGGTCCTGTCTTTTGACGCCACCTGACATGACAACCCCATCAAAAGGCAAACCAATAGGGTGCAAGTCAATCAGTGTGCGACTTAGTGACATTACACATTTTCATAACACTATGCAATCATTACCCTTATGCAATTCAAGATGTTTTCTGTCACCTTGAATAAAAATTCAGCCATAGTCTGTTTCCTGCTTCTATAATAGAATGCCCTAGGCTGGGTAATCTACGACCAAGAGCAGCTTATTTGGCTCCCATTTCTGGAGGTTGGCAAGTTTAAAAGCAGCAGCTGGAGCCTGGTAAGGGCTGTTGTGGTATGCCTGATTATCACGTGTTGTGGCAAAAATCACTGTTGGTCAATCCTATTGGGAGTTCTGTGTTCCTCCTATATTTTGTTTTCCTATTGTTTCTCTAGAGTAGGGAAATTTTCCTTTATTATTTTATTGAATACATTTTTAGACTCAGCTTCTCTTTCAGCATCTTCTGGGAACTCCCATAACTCTTATATTCAGCCTTTTACTAGTATCCCTTAATTCTTGAATGTGTTTCCTAGCTTACTCAGGTCCTATTCCAGCTTTTTTTTTAATTATTGTTTCCCCATTGTTGAAGGAAATATGTTACAATTCTGAGATTCTTTTGCCTTGCTCATTCTATCATTGAGGCTGCTCACTAAATTTTTAATTTGCTCCATTGAATTTCTTAATTTCTAATATTCTCAGCTTTCATTTGATTTATTGCTGCTATTTCCTGTATAACACATTCCTTAAATTCCTTAGATTCTTGTGTGTGCTTCACATTGTTAAGAAGCTTTATAACAAGTTTTAAAATTTCTTTATCCTCCATTTCCTCGCTGTTCTCCTCAGTTAACTCTGAGGTTGACAAAGGCTTTTGCTCCTTTGCAGGGAGGCATCAGTAATGTTCATTGTGCATCTGTCTCTTCTTTTGCTCTTCATCATCGCTATTCTGGCTGGTTTCTAAGCTGTCTTGCCCACTGGTCTACAGGTCGATGTTATTAATTGTGTTAGGTACCTGGTTCTTTGTTGTGCCACTACCTCCAAAAAGCAAAAACATCATCAACCAAATCCTTGCCTTGCACACGCTAAGATCCTATATGAGTAGCAGTTTGTGTCCTGGCTGCTCTACTCTTCATCCAGCTCTCTGCTTGTACCCTGGGAAAGCAATGGAGGATGGCCTAAAGCCCTGATATCCTGCACCCATGTTGGGAGACCCAGAAAAAGCACCTGGCTTTGGGTCAGCTCAGCTCTGGCCGTTGTGGCCACTTGGGGAGTGAATCAGCAGATAGAAGATCATTCTGTATCTCCTTCTTTCTGTAAATCTGCCTTTCCAATAAAAATAAACAGATATTTAAAAAAATCAGAAATTTGGAGCTGACATTCTACCTGGGAGACAAACCAGGGGAAAAATAAATGTGCATTCAAGTTCAGATATGGAGGGCAGCAAGGAAAGAGCAGACAGAGTGGAGGCTTGGGAAGGCGGCAGGGGCTGGGGTGCTGCCTCTCTGAGCTAGGAACGGGACGGCAAAAGGTGGAAGCTGCAGCAAGGGGCGGTGGCAGGAGGCCGCTTCTGTGAGGAGGGCAGACAGGCGGCAGCTCCAGGGGGAAAGAATCGCTGAGTTGCAATTGGTGACATGCATAGTAGGGTAAGCTTACATTTGTGGTGCCAGCATCCCTCATGAGTGCTGATTCGAGTTCTAGTTGCTCCACTTCAGATCCAGCTCTCTGCTTGTGACCTGAAAAAGCAGTGGAGGATGACCCAAGTCCTTGAGCCTCTGCACCCACATGGGAGACCTGGAGGAAGCTCCAAGCTACTAACTCCAGATTGGCTCAGCTTGAGCCATTGTGGCCATTTAGGGAGTGAGTCAGCGGATGGAAGATCTCATTCTATATCTCTACTTCTCTCTTTGTGGAATGTACATTTCAAGTAAAAAGAAATAGATTTTTTAAGATTTTTTATATTATTTTTTCATTGGAAAGGCGGATATACAGAGAGAGGAGAGACAGAGAGGAAGATCTTCCGTCCGATGATTCACTCCCCAAGTGAGCGCAACGGGCCGATACTATGCCGATCCGAAGCCAGGAGCCTCTTCCAGGTCTCCCACGCGGGTGCAGGTTCCCAAAGCTTTGGGCCGTCCTCGACTGCTTTCCCAGGCCACAGGCAGGGAGCTGGAAGGGAAGCGGGGCTGCCGGGATTAGAACCGGCGCCCATATGGGATCCCGGGTGTGCAAGGTGAGGACCTTTAACCACTTGCGCCACTGCGCCGGGTCCAAGAAATAGATTTTTATAAACTTTTTTACAGTGCAACATTAAACGGAAAGAATAAAAGCAAGGAAAGAAAAAATAATGCAGATACTATGCAAGGCTCAGTACTTTTTGAAGAGATGGAGAGCAGCAGATAAGGTAGAAGCGGATACAATGGTCCACATTTTACCTTGCAGGTTTTGTGCTGTAGCCATTCTGGTTCCCACCAAAATTCACGCTTCTGCTGCTTTGCAATCACGACACTGAAATCACAGGAGACTATGCAAGGCAGCAGCCTAGCACAACCGTCAGGGACCACATGCTGCACAATTCCTACCCTGAGGATGAGAGGAACTGCGGACACGAGGGACTGCCAACATGCCTGGTTAAACCATGCTGTGTGGCACTTTGTGGCAGGGAGAGGTGTAGTAGGGGCTTGATCTGGCAGTGAAGACCTTTTCAGCGCATGTTGGGTACCTGGCTTTTGTGTACAACTGCACTCCTCGCTTTAGTCCAATGCCAGTGCACAAACTGGGAGGCAGTGGTGCTGGCTAGACACTGGATCCCCACCAGCCATGTGGAAGTCCCTGTTTTTTTTTTTTTTTTTTTTTTTTTTTTTCTGTTCTCGATCTAGTCCTGGCCAATGTAGGTGTTTGAGGATAAATAAGTTTATGGGAGCCACCCCACTAAATGAAGGCATACATGTGTGTGTGAGAGAGAAAGAGAGCGAGAGATACAGAGTGAAGTTATGGTTTAAGAAAGGGTTATTATTTTTAGCAAGTGTGACTTGGTGGTACAAGTCCTTTGGTATGGGACATCCTACTGTGAGCTCCACAGGAGTAAACTGTGATGGGATGAGAGGACCTGCAGGAAAAAAGACCCAAATTGGCTCTGGAAATTGAGAGTGGCCTCCAAAAAGCAAATGGGCATCCCAGTCATACCACTGCCAGAAATGGAATTTTGTCCATGAGCCTCGACAGGCAACTAACCAAGCCAGGCCAGCCTCCCACACCTGAATATTGTGCGATAATAAACTTCTTTGTGCAGGAAGCCGGCTGCTAGCAATACTCTGATGATAACATGAGCGGGTGCAACTTAGCACAGAAAAGGCAGGCTGGTCAGGAACACTGGGCTCAGAGGGACTCCTTGCTTCCTCTCAAGGCTTTAAAAACCAATGGCATATTTTGCCCAAGTGAGGTAGAGAATCAGAGTAGGAGCAACTTCTTTTCATGTCGCATTGCCCCTTCTTTGTGTTAAAAAACAAACAAACAAAAAAACCCTATACCTGTTATCTTCCAATTGCTTCTGCTTTCCTATCCATGAAGTGGGAAGAACTGGGCAGTCAGGAGTCTCATCCACGCCTGGCCCAGAACACAGCAAGACTGCACCACGGAGAAGATGAACTTCCCACATCTGGGTTTGGAGTGGTGAGGCAGCTGAGGAGACACACGTTTTGGATGCGGAAAGGACCTGAGCCACTGGAGACTAGAGGACCAGCTGGAGTGGGCAAGATCTGGAACCACTGCCAGCGATACAGCTACGGCCTAGTCCCATGGAGAGTGTGCAGGTCTCTCCCTGGGTGAGTGAGAAATGCCAAATGGCCCGGGGGTAGGGTTGAGGGAGGGTCAGTACGTGAGGTTTGACCGTGACCCAGCCCAAGCTAGCTAAGTCGCTGCTGCCATTGAGTGAATGGGCCCAGGGAAATAAACAGAAAACATCCGAGATGAGATAAGCATTGGCTGACCCAGCACCTGCCACAGCTGCCCCAACTCCCCTCTTCTGCTACGCCAGATCCCTCCCCCATCAAACACCAACCTGGGAACCTTGGAGCCAGGAATCCCTGAGACCTACCGCCCACCAGCAGGGTCTCCAGGCACACTTGCCTCTTCATGGCTGGCGACCTTCTCCGGCTCCTCTTAGGTGCTCCAACCTCCGCAACCTGTAGTTGACCACCAGCATGTTGACCCCGCGCATCAGACACCCTGCCTCTGCCATCAGCATTGGGATCTCCCTGGTTCCTTCTGACCTGTGTCCCTCGAGGTGCTGGGGTGCTCAGAACAACCACAGATGGAAGCGGTTTCTTCGCGATCCACGGTTGGTCGCGAGCTCACTATCCACTCCGGTGCGGAAGCACAAGCGGACAGGCGGGATGGGGGGCAGCAGGAAGGGGCGCTCAGGGCTGGGCTGGCAAGGGGCCTGCGCATTGGCTGCCCTCCTGCTCTGGCTGCGCCTCCCACCGCTGAGCGCCCAGACCACGCCATCCAATCAAAACCTGGCTGAAGGTGAGTGGACAGGGGCGGCCATGGAAGGAGGGCTATAGGGGTCCCCTTCGCCTCTCCTGCTTCCTGCGTTTGCCACCTGTGTCTGAACATCAACCTGGAGAACCCGAGCCCGGCCAAGTGTCAATCTAGGCTCGCTGAGGACTAACTACATGGAGGGTGGGAAAGAAGCTGGCCAAAGAGGACTTGGTCTAATCTTTCTCTGCTCCTCCTACTACTTCCAGCACTACCCTGCCCCTGAGTACCCTTCCCAGTCAGATCTAAAAACTCAAGCCAAAAGCTGAAGTTTTTATTCTACCATCCACCACCCTCGTCCCAACCTCCTCTTCATCAGACAGGTGGCTCTATAGGACTGATGACGCAGGGTGGACCACAATGATATCCCTGCTTGAAAACCATCCGTTCCTACCTTGCACATAAGGGCTGGTGTCTGGGAAGCAGGCACCTCATGGCTCACATTGTCCTTCCACAGTATGCGGGAAGACTGGAAAAACTGGGAGAATCTACGGAGGTACGAGGGCAGAGCCAGAACGGTGGCCATGGCAGGCCAGTCTGCTTCTAAATGGCCAACACGTCTGTGGAGCCTCCCTCATCGCCAGCAACTGGGTGGTATCTGCAGCTCACTGTTTCCAAAGGTGCATTTCCTCACCCCAGACCAGCAACTGTTGGGAAGGGTGGCAGGAAGCCAGGGATGGCAGGTTCCGCAGCCTTGTCCTTGGAGACTGGCTTTGGGATTTAGTGCTGCTAATAGGCATTCTGGTACTGCCCACCTTGGCCCCAGAGGTTCCTAGCTGAATGCCATCCCTGCACATCATCTGATGCCCATGTCTGTGTCACATCTCACCCATCATCTGATTCACTGTAGCTTTCATTATCCTTGCTAGAATACCCACTTGGCTCTCTAAGTGGTTTCATTTCAGTCCGCTCTGTCTTCTATGAATGCTAGGAATAAACCCTGCTCCTTTTAGGATGCACTTTAGTGTCTGCACCCTTCCCAGCAGGAAGATGATAGTGGGCCTCTGTGACTTCTGGTGGCAATGAACCTGATCACACACAAACCTTCGTTTTCCGGCAGGAAGTCACAGTGCCAGTTCTAGGAGATCACCTCCAAGGACAGAGAGCAGGCTCATAGGGACAAGGCATCTTGCTTGCTCCAGAGCTGGGTTAGAGACCACCAGGTCCTGTCATCTCACACTCCTACATCCACCTCTGACATCTGCCACAACACAAGCTTCCTGAGTCTACACAGCTGAGCAGCAGCAGGCTTTTCCTGCTCCTCCTGCAGAATTCCATATCTAGGAACACAACTGGGCATCATGACCTTGTCAGTCCAGAATGGGGGTTGAAGCCAGCAGCCTGTGACCTGGGGCGGATGGCAAGGAGACCAGCTCAGTCCTCATGTGTATCCAGGGCTTCCTGTGTGCCTAGAGTGGGAAGCCCATCAGCCTCCAACATGGGAAACAATAACATCAAGCCTGGATGGCTTTTAGACACTATGTTGGGTCCATGCATTCATTCAGTACCCACCCATGCCCGGCACCATGGAAGGCTGACTATGGGAGTAGAGGGTGGGCGTGGAGACACAAGATGCTCCTTGAAGCTTCTCGTTCCATCAGGAAAGGCAGTTACAGAAACTGCCCTTACAGGACATATATCCAATCCAAGGGAGAAAGGAGACACACCTAGACTTGGGGGCCGGGCCCTTGCTGTGGGGAGGGAAGACAGTAAAGGTATTGCACATGGGTAGCCCAAGACTCAGAGGAGCACCCTGTATACAGGTCTAAAAATCCAAAAGACTACCACATCCTGCTGGGGTACAACCAGCTCAGCAAGCCCACCAACTTCAGCCGGAAGATGTCCGTCAGTAAGGTCTTCGTCCACCCAGAGTATGACAAGAGGCACCGCTTCGGGAGCGACATCGCCTTGTTGCAGCTGCACCGGCAGGCAGCCTTCAACTCGCACATCCTCCCTGCCTGCGTCCCAGAGGCCAACCTACATCTCTATGTTGATACTGCCTGCTGGATCAGTGGCTGGGGGATGATCACTGAGGATGGTGAGCAGCCCAAGGCGGTGAGCAGAGAGGGAGTTCCTGCTGTGACAGCCAGCTCTGTCCAGGGTTCCAGCTTCCCCAGCCATGACAGGTGCCTGGAGACCATGAGGAAATTACAGCAACCCAGACAGCTGCCTTATGGCCCATGCCATCAACCTGTGGCAGTTCCCTCCCTTTCATTCACATCTTCCTGCTCTGTACACATGCTGGGTTGATGATGCTGCATCCTTGGCCTCTACAGCAGAATACTCAGAAAAAAAAAAGTTGTTGCATGCCAGACATGTATAAATATTTGTGTGTCCTTTCTACCTTGGTAATGTGGTGGCGTTTTATTAGGTATAGAGAGCTTGGACAAGACAAGGGAGGATGGGCATAGGCTATGCTCCAAGTGGGGTCACGGATGGAGAAGCCACCTGGGCAGGGAGCAGCTGACAGCAGGCAGAGACTTGACCTTCAGTTGTCCCTCTCTGTCTCCTCTCCCTACCTTGGCCAAGATTGTGACCCTGCACCCAGGTCTGGGCTCTGACGACTGTGAAGCCTGCCCACAGCAGAGCCTGTGCAAGAAAGAGCTGTCGTTGTCACTCTGTGCTCCTCAGAAGGGATCCATATCAATCCACAGGCCACCTGTTTCTAACAGGGCCAGTCACACCTGTCATCTTACCAAGCCTACCTGGCACCTGTCAGCCCTGTCACTGCTACAGCCAGCCCAGGTCACCCAGTGTCCTACGCCTCCTCTTCCTCATCCCCTTCCCATTTCCATTACTTTGTGGTCACCCTGACTTCTGTCCCCATCACTCCTGTGGCCCGCCCTTCATCCTGGTAGCCCCATCATCTCTTCTCCTGGGCCCAGAACATTTTCAGAGAAGCCTTCTGTGGCTCTGTGTGCTGTAGTGGGCACCTCCCACTGGCATGCAGGCATCAGAGCTGAGAGGCAGGGCTCCAGCTGCTCTCACACCTGTGCCTTTTCCTGCAGCTTTTCTACCCCATCCCTTCCAGTTGCAGCAGGCCAAGATCTTCACCATGGAAAACCAAATGTGTAGTTCGTTTTTCCCACCTCCACCGAATGCCGACCCCTCTGACATTGTGACAGTCCAGGAAGAGATGATTTGTGCTGCAGACTTCCGGAATCCCCCGTCCATCTGCAGAGTAAGTGAGCTGGCTCAGGGTCCTGGCAGGGTTGAACATGCCTCATACCCCGGGCCATGCCCCTACTCCAGGCACTTCCCTTCCCTCTCCATCCCCTCTGCACCCTGTGATGCTCATCCTAAGCACACTCTTGGGGGAAATGTCAAGACTCCGAGGTTGAAATCCCTTTAAGAGCATCTGTTCATTGCACCCAGTGTCATCCTTGTTTATTTAGAAAAAGGCTGTTGACAACGTGGCATAGGCATAGAGTCACGTGAATTCTGATGCGCTCTTTTTAGGGGAATGTTAGGATGTTCAGGAACACAGCATCTAGAGGGACTGCTCATGCTCGCATCTTTTTGGTTACGCCCTGCTGAAGCCCTGCCCAGGTTTCAGAAGCTCCGTGCCCAGTGCTTTGCAAATAGTCCTGCCATGAGCATCCTGTAAATATGTGTGTGTGTGTGTGTGTGTGTGTGTGTGTGTGTGTGTGTGTGTGTGTGTGTGTGTTAGTTCACAGGCATTCCTGTTGGGGTCGTGGTCATGTTGACTGCAATTTCATGCTGTGGAATGTTCACCTGTTCATCTCTCATGTACCACCCAGGCAACCCCTCAGCTCAATCGTGCCAATTTGTAGTCCCACTGTCAGTGAGAGAGACTTCAGAGTGTCCTGTGTGTCCTCTGCTACCCTCAGCTCACAAATCCACAGTTTTTACTGGAGCCACTGTGTGTGGCTTCTAGCGTGTGTTCCTCCGGTGACTGGCGAGGATGAACACCTTGTCACGTGTTTATTGCCTTTTCTGGAAAGTGTCCACGTGCAGGGTTTTGTTTCCAACCATGGGCCTGTGTCTGTTCTGCGTGCAATCTTTTTTATGTGTGGGCATCAGCTTTAATTTTTATTTTTAGTATTATTATTGTTTTCCTTGATACAGTTTTGTCAGTATAAGCTTCTGTCCTCCCCCTCCTCATTCCTCATTTTCTCTCCCCACTCTCCCCTCCCACCATTTTGCCCCGTATTATCACAGTAGTGCAGTCCTTTAGAAACAGTTACAAGTTTAACATTGTGCTATCTAAGCATATCACGGCATTGTAGGTATAGACAAAGGTTGAAAATCTAATATCCTAGTGTCCAGATATATTTAACTGTTTCATGGGAAGGAGTCCTTTTATGTGAGAGTAGAGATGCCTATTGCAACATATCTTCATTTCCTGGTATGCTAGTCTCCATTATACAATTTCTGCATGGAATCACAAGAGCTCTGTATTTGATTGTGACTGTGAGCTCATTGATGGACACGGATATATGGCTGTCTGCTTCCTGCTCTGTGTTACCTTTTGGTTTTGTGGTGGAGAAGTGCTGGCAAATTTATTACCAGTGACAGTGCTGGGCAGTGGATTTCATGCAAAGTCACAAGGCAAGTATGCGAGCCGGCCACCCACCTGGCCACAATGTGGGGTCCCAGGTCTTGTCTTCTTCCCCAATGGGGGAGGGCGGTGAGGGATGGAGAGCAGCGCTGTTGCTTCCTGGGGCTCCCCTCTGTGTCCCCGTAGGTGGCAAGTTTCTCCTCAGCAGCTCTCTGTACCATGGGACTCTCAGGGCCTGACTCATATTTTAAAGAAGAGGTCTGTGTATGTCAGGAGTTTTTTGTTTTGTTTTGTTTTGTTTTGTTTTTTGTCGTTGTTCCCGCCAGCTGGTCTGCATGCACACCAACCTGGACAAAGGAAACATGTAGCCCGCACACCAACCCAGAGTAGGATGGAAATTCCTAAGGTCGCTCATCGCTGCTTCTACCCCTACTAACCCTGTTTTCTCTGCCCAGGGAGATTCAGGGGGTCCTCTGGTCTGCTTCCTGAACAACTCCTGGTTCTTGGTGGGAGCAACGAGCTGGAGTGCTCCATGCTTTCCACCCATCATGCCCAGCGTCTTCACCAGGATCTCCTACTTCTCCAACTGGATCAAATCCACCCAGGCGGCCACGCCCAACGCTGACCTTGCCACCGCCCCTCCTGAAGAAAAGGCCCCCGCATTGACTACCATGGGTGGCAAGGGCACCATCCTCAGGCCAAGAGTCTTCCTGGTGTTGCTGTCACCTGCAACCCTGCTGCTGCTGCTTCTCCTCCAGAGCCTGTGATGGGCTGACCCCACCTCCACACAGGGCCTCCACCCCAAGCCCAGACCCTCCACATGCAGCTCCATCTCATGGTCCTCCTGTCCAGCAGGGGTCAGCAGAAGTAAACCAAGTCAAGAAACTTCTCACTCCCGTGTCAGAGACCTCTGTCATTGCACTGATCCCACCAGGGCCAGCCAAACCCCAGCCAGGACTCTCCCTGGAAGGCAAAGCCAGGGCCGCCCGACATGGGCACCCTGATGTCCACTGTCCCAGACAGATGCTGCTCTCCTCTTTGGATGTGTACAGTGTCTCACTGCTGAGCCAGACCCTGGTGGCCAGACCCTGGTGGCCAGGAACCAGTCTCAGTCATTTAGCAGGGTCCCTGTAGTTGGAGAGGGGCTTCCATCCCTCTTGGGAGCAGGACCCTGGCAGACTAAGTTCTCCTAGGAGCTAAGGGTAAGTGATGAGATTGAAAGAGAGAGGCTATAGGCCAGACTCCCAGGCACTGGAACATCCAGCTTGGTGTGTGATACAGATACTGGGTAGCTTTGGGGTGCTGACATATCAGAGGGGGGTGGCTTAACCTCAGGTGAGCAGACTGTGATAAGCCCCACCCTCCTATCATGCTCCTCCTTCCTACTCAGTGAAACAGGAATCAGTTCACAGCTACCTGGTAAGAATGCTGCAGAGAACAGACTTAGCCCAGTACACAGGAGCAGGGGAGCACACATCAGCATACACCCTTACAGCTGCCACTCATTCTGTGCCTTCTGGCCCCTGTACCAAACGACTGCCTTGTGCTGTTCCCAACCCTGAGGCTCACAGGGGAGTGTTCCTAAGAAGAAGTGGGAGAGAGGTACAGGCTTAAGAAAGACCTTGCTTCGGGCCCGGCACGGTGGCACAGTGGTTAAGGTCCTCGCCTTGCACGCCCCAGGATCCCATATGGGCGCCGGTTCTATCCCGGCAGCCCCGCTTCCCTTCCAGCTCCCTGTCTGTGGCCCGGGAGGGCAGTCGAGGACGGCCCAAAGCTTTGGGAACCTGCACCCGCGTGGGAGACCTGGAAGAGGCTCCTGGCTTCGGATCGCCATAGTATCGGCTGTTGCGCTCACTTGGGGAGTGAATCATCGGACGGAAGATCTTCCTCTCTGTATATCCGCCTTTCCAATAAAAAATAATAAAAATAAATATTTAAAAAAAAGAAAGGCCTTGCTTCATGACACTTCTTCTTGTACGTTAACAAACTCTAATCAGCCAGCTGGAATTGCTGGGATTGTTGAACTGGTTGTATCCTAGCTCAGCTTCGAGACCTATAGATGCGGTGCTCTTCTGAGTTCTGGTTTACCCCACCCCCACCCCCTCCCTAGTCTACCCTTTACATATCCAGTACTTGATCTGCAAGCCACAGTGTCAGTCTCCTCCCTCCTCAGATAGGACATGTGTCCTGAGAGGAAATATTTCATCCATGACGTCTTTCCCACCAAGCTCCAGATAAGCACCACAGGCATTCTTGTTGCCAGAAAGAAACATTTGCTGGTTAGAGTGGGAGTTTGGGGGTTGAAGGGTGGCATGTGTAGGACTGGAAGGGTCAGAGACTCAGCTTATCCCCAGCTGTGAGCCAACCTTGAAGCCCCATGGAGGGCACTGTGCTATTGCCCCCTCTTCCTGGGGTCTCACTTACCTCTGCTCCCACACTTGTCCTTGCCTGAGCATAGACACTCTTCAGGCTCTTGTCAAGCAAATGGAAGAGCGTATGGACATAATGTTTCCATGTCTCTGGGCTCCAAGCCTCTGTCCAGCTCATGTGACACCCCACTCAGACGCCACATGTCTGGATCCAGTTCCCAATGTCTTTTCTGCACAAAACTAGGCCACGCTGGAACTCCTGGCATCTCCCAGGTCATGCACTCATAGTTCAATAAGAGCGGGACTTGAGCATTGCTTTCCTAATTGGACTTAGGAGGCTCAAGCAGCATCTTGTGTCTCCCTGTCCCACAGGGTTGGCAGTCTAGAGGGTCAGGCATGAGTGAGTACTGAATAAATTCATGGAACTGTCTTGGTGTCAAAAAGCCAGCCATGTCTAAAGCTGGCTTCTTGTTGGAGGTTGATGAACACTACTCTGGGGTCCACAGGGAGCCCAGCGCATATGTGAGGAGTGGGCCGCTCTCATTACCATCTGTACCACATGCCCCGGGCATAGGTCACAGGCTTCAACTTTCAGTCTGGCCTGAAGGAGCCATGGCAGCCAGGGGTGCTTCTTAGACATTGGGGCAGCTGTAACAGGTGCCTGGGGATGTACATAGCAAACAGCTATGCCATCTCTTTGGATCTTTTCAATTTGTTTTCCAGACCCATAACAACCAGCTTGCTAGTTTTAGTAGGTTCATGCTTTATTTCTGTGTGGCCTTCCCAGTCCAGGAAAGAAAGAAAAAAAAAGGGAAAAAAAGAAAGAACATCTTCTGGGGATTCAAATGGATAATCTTCAAAACTGCCAGGAGAACATTAAAAAATTTAATATAATTTACAGTGAACAAACATAGTTTCTGGGGAAAAAAAATGGTGTTTCCCCCCCCCCAAAAAAAACCCACAAAAAGTCCGGGGGAATCAGGAATCAGGAGTTTAGAGGGCAGAGCATTGGATGTAGGATCTAGAAAGAAGTTTACACATGTATATTCACAATGAATTGTTCATAATAACCAGGAAGTACATGCCACTCAGCTATGTAGGAAGCACAAATGGGTACTCAACAGGGAGTAAAATAAATCTGTTTTTTTTTTTTAAGATCTATTTCTCTGTTTGAAATGCAGAGTTACAGAGAGGCAGAAGCAAAGAGAGAGAAAGAGAGAGAGAAAGATCTTCCACAAACTGGCTCACTCTCCAGATGGATACAACAGTCAGGACTATTTGAAGCTTCAGGGCTACATCATCAGCCTGGAGTGTCTCTTGGTCTCCCACGTGGGGACAGGAGTCTAGGCACTTGAGCCATCTTCTGATGCTTTCCCAGGTCCATCAGCAAGGAGTACGATCAGTATTGGGATATGCTGGACATGAACCATTGCACCTATGGGATGCCAACGCTGCAGTTCATGGCATAATTCACTATGCCAACACACTGGCCCTTATATTCTCTCTTGAAAGGAGTGAAATGTTGTGACGTGGCAGTGCATGGCTCAGCATCAAAGGTGGTATGCTAAGGGAAACAGCCAACTGCAGAAAAACAAAGACTGTCTGTCTCCATGGTGTGCAAGCCATAGCAGAATGGGGGTGGAGGAGGCAGGGAACAGAGAGAGAGAAGGAAAATAGGGGACTTCATGTGGCCTGAGCATCAGGTATCAGTATGGGAGGAGGAGAACATTCCAGAGCTAGGTGGTGGTGGTGATGTCTGCACAGCAATGGAAGGAACTGATACTGTTGCCCATAAAGGAACACAGAGTTATGGCTAAAATGTCAACTTGACACTATGCACCTTTTACCTCAATTTACGTGAAAGCTTAAAAGCAAGTTACATGTACATTCTCCACATGGTCTGAGGTATAGAAAGAGAACTCTGTAGGGAAGCTGGATTGAGTGGACAGAGCAGGTTGGGATGAAAACCTTTAGAGGCAGGGAGATGTAACAGAAATCTGGATTCCATTGGGTGGGGGCTAGGCACACTAGCCAGGTGTGGCTGATGACCAAGGCAGCCTCACCTGAAGACAGTGCAGGACAACTGGCCCTGGGGAATGGCATAGGGAGAATGGGACTTTGGGTCAGCTGTGTGCAGGCACTCTTCTGTCCATCACCTGATGATGGGGAGGTGGTGAGGATGGTGCTGATGTGGGTGATGCTGATGATGAAGAGGGTCATGATGATGATGACGGTAAGGATGATGATGACTGTGGTAATGAGGATGGCGATGTTCACCATGTTGGTTATTTTGAAATGGCTGATGATGCTGACACTGAAGGTGACAGTGATGATCCCAATGATGACTAAGGACATATCCACAGTTATGCTGTGGTTGCTGCTGATAGTAAGATAATGGTATGGACAAGATGGTGAGAATGCAGGTGGTGATGGTGCCATGAATGATCACGTTGGGAATACCAATGAAAATGTGACAGGGAGGTAGTCACATGGGCGTTGTGATGACAATGAGGCAGAGGAAAGAGATGCCGACAGGAGGAAGGGATATTGGTTACGATTCTGGAGCAGGTGACTGTGAGGAAGAGGAGGAGTTGGAGGATGATGAAGAACAATGTGATGATCATGAAGATGACATGAGGACAACCATGTTGGAGAATGAGAAACTGACAAGGATGATGAAAACTGTGATGATGAAGAATATGATATCAGCAAATAGGAAGATGAGATGAGAGGACTGTGTTGATAGTGAGGAGGATGGCAGTGATGATGATGTGATGACAAATGTCATGAATGGAACAATATGATAACATGGGGATGATATGATGCTGAATGAGACACTGACACTGAGGAGGTGGAAGCGCCTGTGAGAAGGAGGAGATCCAGAGGAAGTGAGTGATGATGATGGAGGTGAGACTCATGATGATACAGAAGGGCTGACAGCAATACTGATGGACAAGATGATGATGATGATGATGTGTAGAAATGTTCTCTGCCAGGGATGCAGAGAAATATGGTCTGGGCAGACTGACAGTGAGTGTGGAAATAGCTCAGGACTCATAGTAAGTAACACCTGAGCTTGCTCAGCTAAGCCCAACTCCCCATTGTCCAGCAGCTCAATGTTCCACAAAGTCCACATTACACACCAACCTGGATGTCCCAGTGCCTGGGAGTCTGGCCTATAGCCTCTCTTTCAATCTCGTCACTTACCCTTAGCTCCTAGGAAAACTTAGTCTGCCAGGGTCCTGCTCCCAAGAGGGATGGAAGCCCCTCTCCAACTACAGGGACCCTGCTAAATGACTGAGACTGGTTCCTGGCCACCAGGGTCTGGCCACCAGGGTCTGGCTCAGCAGTGAGACACTGTACACATCCAAAGAGGAGAGCAGCATCTGTCTGGGACAGTGGACATCAGGGTGCCCATGTCGGGCGGCCCTGGCTTTGCCTTCCAGGGAGAGTCCTGGCTGGGGTTTGGCTGGCCCTGGTGGGATCAGTGCAATGACAGAGGTCTCTGACACGGGAGTGAGAAGTTTCTTGACTTGGTTTACTTCTGCTGACCCCTGCTGGACAGGAGGACCATGAGATGGAGCTGCATGTGGAGGGTCCGGGCTTGGGGTGGAGGCTCTGTGTGGAGGTGGGGTCAGCCCATCACAGGCTCTGGAGGAGAAGCAGCAGCAGCAGGGTTGCAGGTGACAGCAACACCAGGAAGACTCTTGGCCTGAGGCACGCTGTGCCCTCTTCAGGAATGTAGACATTGGTCATGGCAGGGGGCGTCTCCTCAGGAGGGGCAGCAGAGGGGTTGGGTATTGGAGTGACCCGCTGCTTGTCCTTGATCCAGTTGGAAAAGTAGGTGACCCTGACAGAGACGCTGTAGCCGACAGGTCTGCGGCAGTGCCAACCCCAGCTGGTGACACCCACGAGGTGCCAGGCCTCATTCAGGAAGCAGACCAAGGGGCCCCCAGTGTCTCCCTGGGAGAGAGGGAGAAAGAGAGAGGGTGAGAGAGAGAGCAGGGTTATTGGAGTTGGAAGCATGGAGGGATAGGGGGGCCACTCTTTTTGCTTTGCAAGTATGCGTGGGCAACACAGCAATCAGGTGTCTCCCCTGTCTATGTGGGTGAATGTCAGGATCACCAAGAACAATACATAGAGACCAGAGATACAGGGATCACAGGAGGATACAGAGAATCCAGCTACAGAGTCCTGTCCTAAACATTGTTGGACCGGCAAGAACACACGGGGCAGCCCCAAGGAGCAGCACAACTGCCTTCCAACTCCCCACACTTTCCCACCAAAGAGGAAGAAGGCAGGGTATTGGGTTCCATGCCAGGACTGGCTGGGTGTTCAGCTTGGAGGTGTAGCCTGTGGTTTTGTACCAAGTCCATAGTGCAGCATTGTCCCCAACCCGTGCCTTTGCTGCTGACATCATAAAGTTTCCAGTGTATCCTCAACCTCCTGGTTGAGCTTCTTTAGAATCTTCCCTGGGCTGGTAGATTTGTTGAGGTTTGGGTCCCCAGGTATGGCTGGGCAGGAGGTTGAAGGTGTCCGACACCACCGTGGAAGATCCCATCTCATGATGATTAGTAGGACCCAAGAAATCCCAGCATGACAGCCATGCTCTGAGCAGTGTGCACCGGCAAGCAGTGATGCCCCAGTGGACAGAACCTGCCAGTAGCATTCGGAATGAGACACACTGGGCATGGAAGTAACCTAAAGGGGCTGCTGGACCCACATCATTAGAGAATGTCCCTGAGGAAAGAGAGGCCTGCCTGCATCCCGCACAGGCACCGAACACAGACTCACACAGCAGGGAGGCAATGACCTAAGCAAGATCCAGAATGGGACTGTGGCTGCAGATTGGGCAGGTCCAGTGGCCAGAAAGCAACTACCAGAGAAGGTATGGCAGTGGCTGGCAGAACAGGTTGCTGCTGGAGGCTGCCTGGGGCAGTTTCCGGCAAAGGCAATCAAGATGGGTGCTTCTCACAGGGCAAGCGAGACAAGCAAGCCAGAAGCCACCCCGGATAGTTAAGGTGAAAATTGCAGGTATCTGAGCTGGAGTGGGTTTGGGGGGAGGGGGCAAACAGGGTGTCATGTGGCCTGTCTCACTGAAGAAGGAACAGCTAATTGGCATCATCAAGTTGGGGGGCTGCCTGGATGATGCATAGCAGATGAGCAAGTTAACATCCCACAATGTGGAGCTGTGTGGCATCACTGTGACACCAATAGGAAGGAACACACACATACACACACACACACAATCTTCATAGCTGTGCTACTGCAGTGAGCTCACATGGAATGCTCCAAAGCCAACAACTAAAGCATGACACAGCAGTAGAATGCACAACTCAAGCCACACCATGGGATGCTGTTGGAGAAGCTGGGCAGAGCCTGTTTCCTGTAGGAGAGCATTTGGTATAGACTCTCACAAACAGGCACTGACCTTCAGAAACCTGCACAGGGCTCTTTGGGAGGTGACTGAGAGGACCTGGGTTTCGTGTGGGCCCCTTTGGGTGCTGGCTTCATCATGATTTTGAGCCCTAAAACAGAACATTGGAAACCATGCTATGCTTTAACAGCCTGTGTAAAGACACAGGAGGCTATTGGCATGGACCCGAGTGATGTAGGGAAGCTGGCGAGAAGTGTCCTCGGGCTGGGCTGAGGAAGTGGAAGTCAGAGCTGGGGCAGTGTCCAGAGGACACACACAGCATGGGACAGAGGATGGCTGATCCCTGTCTGCCTCACTTACTGGGCAGATGGTCTTGTCATCCCAAAAGCCACCGGAACATATCATGTCTTCATGTACAGTCACCACTTGGTCTAGAGGCGTGCCTGGAGGGGGAATGTAAAACCTCTTGCATTTGTCTTGGTCTGCAAGGCTGACGTTGGCCTCCTGCAGGTGGGAAGTTGTTGGCACTAAAACTGTGGGAGGAGACACAGGTGTGAGAGCTTCCTTAGATGTGCCTCCCCACAAAACACACATACACACACCTGCTTGCCAGTGGGAGGCATCCTCTCCAGCACACAGAGCCAGACAAGGCCTCTCTGAAGATGCAGGGAGAGACAACCGGGTGCCAGGGTGAAGGGCATGTGTGGGAGGAACTGGGACAGAGTTTGGTGTGACTGCAAAGATGTGGGGATGGGTGGTGAAGAAAGGAGACACAGGCATTACAGGCCCAGAGCAGGCAGGGTGTGGGTGGGATTTCATCCTAATCAGATCAGGAAACAATCACAGAGCTGCCCTGGGCCTCCAGTAACCCCTCTGCCTGCCTAGTGAGCCTGCTGAGAGCCTGGTGCAGGGAGCGATGGATGGTGATCTGGTGACCCGGGCTGGCTGTAGTGGTGGCAAAGCTGATAAGCATTAGGTGGGCTTGGCAAGATGACCGTTGTGACTGATCCTGCTCAGGACTGAGTGGCCTCTGGATACGTGGACTCTGCTTCCACAGGCCACCCACAGTTCTGGTCTGAGTCCATCCTGGGAGCACAGGGTAACAAAGATGGTTCCCTCCTATGCAGAATATGTTGTACGCAGTCTCACAGCCATTACGCTTCAACCAGGGGAGGGCATGGACAGAGAAGAGCTACTAAAGGTCAAATCTTTGGCTGCTATCAGCTACTCCCTGTCCTAATGGCTTCTCAACCTGTGACTCAACGGAAGCTTGTTCGACTCTCACTTTGTCTTGGAGAATCGTCTTTGCCCTCCTCCTGTGAGAGAGAATGTGGATCCCTCTCAGCTGTGCTAGTGACTGGCACTGTGACTGGCACTGGGAGTTAGAGCAAAAACGTTGACTGACTTGCCTGTCAAAGAAATCCTGACTTTTCTTGGCCACTGAGATCTTGTGCCATCTCATAAGCCCCCTAATCATGCCAGCATCACCTGCTACTCTTGTTTCATCACAAGTGTATTTTATGACCTTATTTGTACACTACCTTTGTAACATTTCTCCTCTCTTCATGCAGACCTTGCTGCATCTTTTCCTAGCGGTCTGTCCCTAACAACTCACCATCCTCAGCGAACATCCCCCAGCCAGTTATCCAGCACGAGCTATTCATGGGCAACATGGTCTCATTGTCTGGGAGGCAGGCAGGCCGGATGTGAGAGTTGAAATCCACAGGGAGAACCAGTTGTAACAGAGTGATGTCACTGCCGAAGCGGTACTTCCTGTTGTAATCTTCATGGATGATGACCTTATCGATTCTGATCTGCCTGCTGAACCTACTGGGCTTGCTGAGCTGGTTGTACCCTAGCAGGATGCGGTAGTCCATTGGGTTTTGGGACCTGTGGACGGGAGTTCCTCTCAGTGCTGGGTTGCCCTCCTGCATCCTTGTTGTCCACCCTCCACACAACCAGGGCTCAGCCCCCAGGCCTGCTGGATGCTATGGCTTTCAGTGACGGAGACTCACAAACTTTCTACTCTGAGAACATAGGGAGACCAAGATACACAGGAGGAGTGAACTATTCTCATCATCATCTGCCCCACACTCCCATGGCCTCAATGCCCAATCTGAACTGACAAGGCCATGGTACTCAGAGGTGCTACTAGATATAGATTTCTGTAGAAGGAGCAACAAGAGGCTGCTGAAGCTCAAGTGTCCAAAGAATCATGCCACCTCTGATGTGGCAGGTATCAGAGGGGCTGGGTGCCAGGTATGATCAGACCCTTACCTCTGATAACAATAGAAGAGCTCTACCACACTGAACAACACAACACGCCTAATAGAAACCACAGCAACAAGCCTCAACAACAGACTTAGTGATGCCAGAAGACAAATCCTGGGCAAAGTCACAGACAAAAAAAAAAAAAGATGAAAAAATTAGAGAAACTAAACTAGTATTTGAGATTGTTTATGGAATGGTAACAAAGTTCCTGGAGGTATAGAAAAAGAGAAGGGATCAGAAGGTCTATTCAGAGAGGTGATAATAGAAGACTTCCCCAAAATGGAGAAACACAGGGACAGGCACAGAAAGCACATAAAAATACTGATACACATGATCAAAAACAATCCTCAGCATTTTATGTAGTGAAACAATATGGATTCTAAATATGTGTGTGAGAAATGCCAGATTAACTGCAGTGGATCCTGAATGAGAATAACAACAGTTTTCTTATCAGAAACTCTTTTTTTTTCAATAAAATTTATTTTGACATTCTAATAAAATTTATTTTGACATTCTAGAAACTCTTAAGCTAGGAGAGACTGGTCACACAGTCCAAGTCCTAAATGAAAGAAACTGCCAATCCAGAATCCTGCACCCAGCAAAGCTCCCATTTGCTATAGAGGAAGGCAAAGTGAATACCTTCTAAGATGCACAGCACTTGAAAGAATTTCTTGCTGCTTGTCCAGCCTTAGAAATGATGCCAAGGGTTCTGCACAGACACAGAGTGATGTCACCATTATGCAAGCAGGTAGAGGCAGAAAACTTCCTAGTGAAAGTACAGAGGAAATCAAGACAAACAATAGGAATATTTAAGGAAGAATGGCAGGACTGAGGCGTTATTTCTCAATAACAAAACTGATTGTCGATGGCCTGAATTATTCCACTTTTAGTAGGAGTCAGACTGGCTGAATGGATCCAAAGCAAGACCTTTCTATGTGCTGCCTATGCATAAGATATCTCACCAATAAAGATACACATAGACTGAAAGAATGGAAAAGATATTTCATACTAATAGAAAGCATAAGTGAGCAGGTATAGCCACATTGATATCAGAGAAAATAGACTTCAGCATGGAAAGTGTAAAAGAGACACAAACAGGCATTACATCATGAGCAAGGCATCAATTCAACAAGAAGCTCTGCCTATTGGAAATGCATGTGCACCCAGTGCCAGAACACCTGGCTATTTAAAATATTTATCACTGCATCTAAAAGGGGACACAGACTCCAGTACAACAAGAATGGTGGATTTCAGCACCCCACTGTCATCAGTGGACAAACCAACAGGGCAGAAACTCAATAAAGGAAACAATAGACCTAAACTATCCTCTCGACCAAACTGACCTAATCGATATGGACAAAACAGGTCATCCCTCAGTTGCAGAATATGTATTCTTTTCATGCATTCATGGCACTTATTCTAAGATAGGCCATACACTCGGTCATTAAACAAGTTTCAGCAAGCTCAAAACTGAGATCACATCTTGTGTCTTTTCTGATTGCCATGGAATGAAGCTGGACATAAGCAATTTTAGGAACTCTAGAAAACATGCAAACACCTGAATACCACACCACATGCTCCTCAAAGAACAGTGAGCCATAGGAGGAATCAAAAGAGAAATGAAAAATTTCTGGAAACAAATGGAGATGCAAGCACAATGTTTGAAAACTTAGGGGATACAGGAAAAGCAGTGTTAAGAAGGAAATTGGTACAGACCAATGTCTGCATCAAGAAGTTAGAAAAGCATCAACTAAATGTTCTAGCAATGCTTTGGAAGGATCAAGGAGAAACAATAAACCAACCCCAAACTAGTGAAGAGAAATTAGAGTAGAAATAAACTAAACTGAAAGAAAAATAGAGATCATTGAGATGAAGATCTGTGGTTTTGGAGAACACTCAAGTAACTAAGAAAAAAACAGAAAGCACCCAAATTATTAACACCAGAGAAGGAAAAGAAGATGTAGCTGTGGATTGCACAGAAATAAAAAGAATCATCAGGAATTACTACAACAAGTTGGAAAACCAGGAAAAATGGGTTCATTTAGACACCTGCAACCTACTAAAGCTGATTCCTGATGGTGAAGAAAGTCTGAATAGACTGAAAACCGAGATGGAGATTGAATCAGTGACAAAGAGCCTCCCAACAAGAAAAGCCCACGACCAGATGGCGTTACTGTTGGACTCGATCAAACACTGCAAAAAGAACTACTTCCAATTCTCAAACTATTCAAAACATCCAAAAGAGAGGGAATCCTCCCAAAACTCCTTAAATGGGGCCAATATCACCTTAATCCCCAAATCAAAGACACAACAAAGAGAACTATAGACCAACACCCACGATGGACATAGATGTAAAAATTCTCAACAAAATACCAGCTAATCAATTCCAACAACAAATCAGAAAGATCATTCACCCACACCAAGTGAAATTTATCCCTAGTGTGCAAGGATGATTGGAAATATGTAAATCTAAAAAAAAGTGACATGAGTGCCATATCACAGTAACAAACTGAAGAATCAAATGATAGAATTACCTCAAAGAGGCAGACAAGATTCTATAAAATACAATATCTCTTCAAGATGAGAAAAAAAAAGCTTACGAAATTATGTGTAATAGGAGTACTTCTCCATACAATCAAGGCAATATATGGCGTGCCCACCGTGAGCATCATGTTGAATGAGAAAAAGTTTGAAGTTTTAAGATCTACAACCAGACTTGCATGCTTACTTTCTCTATTGTCGTTCTCATCCTCAAAGTTTACCCAGAATGATTAGGCAAGAAAAAGAAGACAAAGGGATACAAATTGGAAAGGATCCAAATTGGTGGTGGATGACATGGTCCTTTATGCACTGAACTGCTATCATGCCCTAGGATAACTCTTCTCACGATAGAGTTTGGGAGAGTTGTAGGTTGAAGAGCAACATACAAACATCAGTGGCCTTCCTAGACACAAACGATCCCATGGCTGAGAAGGAACTTGTAAGATCAGTTGCTTCACAAGAGCTCCAAAATATTCTGAAACCTCGGAATGAACTTAACCAAGGATATGAAAGACCTCTACAACAAAGGCGACGAAAGTGCTAAGGAAAGGCACGTAAGAGGACACAAGTAATGAAAAATAGAACATGTTCTTGGTCCGGGCACACAGTGGTGGGAGGCACAGTTAGTATCATCAAATGTCCTCTCTTATCTAGACAACGTGATGCTAAAATTGATATAGAAACATAAGAAACTCTAGGCAGCTAGAACAATCATAGACAAAAAAAAAAAAACATGGAGGCATCAGCATGTCAGACTTCAAGATGTACTACAGGGCATAGTAATCAAGGTCGAAGTACAACAAAAGACAGGAAAACCAACACAATAAAAAATCCCAGCAATGAAGCCACACATCTACAGCCAATTCGTGCAGAGACGCACCTTCGGAAGCAGTGAGCAGCAGAGATCACCCAGTTGCTGGCAATGAGGATGGCTCCGCAGATGTGCCGGCCGTTGTAAACCAAACTGGCCTGCCAAGGCCACCGCTCTGGCCCTGCCGCCTGACCACCAAAGATCTTCCCTGTGACTCTGCTTCTCCCGCATACTGTGGGGGCAACATCAGCAGTTAGGTGCCAAGTCCCAGACACCAGATCTGATTGTCCCCAAACGTCTGCATCATGGAGCTCAGGAGCTCCCGTGGGTCCTGGTCTCAGTTCCCAGGCTGAAGTGACAACGGCCATGTGACCACACACCTCCTGGTGGTACAGGCGGGTGGAGGGGAAGAAGAGGGAGGAGGAGATGGTTCACCTCACTCAAGGTCCACCACAGAGTTACAAACTGTAGTCTTCTGCAACTAGCCTCCAGCCACCAACCTCCAAGAGCTCCCAGAGGCACACATGGCCCTGCTGAGTTCTCCTGGCTAACGTTCCGGTCACGGGGAGGACGAAGTCCTCAACTGCCCTCTCTGCCTAGCACTGCGCAGGCCCACTCACCCTCAGCCAGGTTCTGATTGTTCCCATTGGACAGCTTGGTCTGGGTACACAGAGATAGGAGGCACAGCCAGAGCAGGGGAATGGCCAGTGCGCAGGCCCCTTGCCAGCCTAGCCCTGTGCGCCCCCTCCTACTGCCTCCCATCCTGACAGTTGGCTTCTGCTCGCCCCATGAGCGTTCAGTGTGCTCGTGGTCAACAGCACGTTACAGAGTAACTGCCGCTGCTGAGCTGGGGGTTATTTACGAACACCCTAGGAGGATGAGAACAATCCTCCAATTATGGAGAGGTCAGTGTGCTAGGGCACCCCGCCCGGTGGGTTGCAGTCAGGGCTGGGAGCTGCCAGCCTGTTGTGGAAGAATGACCTCAGGAGCCTCTGACTTCCAGGACCCCTAGTTGGTGTTTGCTGGAGCATTAGAGGGAGTTATGTACCCCCTCAGCTGATGCTGATGTCATCTCCTGAAATTGTTTTCATTTGCTTCTTAGACGCACAAACTAAGTGGCAACTGCCAGCTCATGAGCTTGCACAGGGTCATATAGGAACCCCATATAGCCCTCCCAGGCCTGGTGGCATCCCACACTCTGCCAGGGACCGTCCTCCTTCATACAGCTCCCTTCCACTCTCCGACGGGATTGGGCACTGTGTGGCTCACCAGCAGCGGGTCGAGATCCTGGCTCAGGTCCTCCCCACATCCACAAGGTGTGCTCCACAACCTGCTTGCCAGACTCTCCTCCTGTTGTAGTGCTGTCTCACCACCCCAACCCCACATGAAGGGAGCACATTTTCTCCACATTTTGTGCTGTTGGTCCCCTGAGTCTTGTGGATGAACCTACTGACTGGATCCCACATTCTTAAGCCCCGGTCTTCCCTGTCGCTCAGTTACATTCTCAAAGAAGGGAATGAAGGGAAAGAGTTACTGCTTCTTGGCAATCTTTATATTTTTATTTTGACATTTATTAACCTTTACTGATAGGTAGATGAGATTTACTAGGGCTTGGCAGAGTTCTTTCGCCCACTGGTTCACTTTCCAATTGGCTACAGTGGCCAAAGCTGAGCATACCTAAAGCCAGAAGGCAGGAGCTTGTTCCTGGTATCCCATGCAGATGCAGGGTCCCAAGGCTTTGGGCCGTTCTCGACAGCTTTCCCCGGCATCAAAAGGAGCTGGATGGGAAGCAGAGCAGCTGAGACATGATCCAACATTCACATGGGATCCCTGTGCTTATACGAGAGAATTTAGCCATCAAGGCATCATGCTGGGCTCTATTTCCTTCTCTTAAAACCAATTTTAAAATTATTTGAAACACAGTAAGAGAACAAATATGAGACTGAGATACTCAAACAAATGTGGGTGAGAGCTTGCAAAACATCAATCCTTAGAGGGCAAGCCTTGGCTAGTTATAGCATCAATAAGAAATGGATGAGCAAATCACAAGGATATAGACCTCTCAATACTGTGATGGTTATATTTTAAAAGGTCAGAAGCAAACAAGCAAATAAGAGAAAACTTTAGGCGGAATTCCGGGATATCAGAAATTTCCCTTCCAGGTATACACAGCAGAGCAGTGGAATGAGGACCTGGAAAGGAGTTTGCAAAGCATGTTCACACTTGATTGTTCACAATAGCCAGGAAGTGGATGCCAGCCAGATATGTAAAATGCACAAATGGGTACCCAACAGGTGGTACAATGACATGTATTCAGTGACTTTTAAAAAATCTCTTTATTTCCTTTAAATGCAGAGTTACAGAGAGGCAGAGGCAGAAGGAGAGAAAGAGAGAGAATTCTTCTAACTGATGGTCTACTCCTGCAATGAGCATAACAGCTGAGGCTGGGCCAGGTAGAATCCAGGAGTCCAGGGATTCTTCCGTTCTTCCAGGTCTTCCACATGAGTGCAGGGACCAAAGTACTTGGGCCATCTGCTGCTGCTCTCTGAGGCACATTAGCAAGATGGACTGTGGAGCAGCCTAATTCTATCCTACATCATATGGGATGCTGGTTCTGTAGGTGACAGTAATGACCCATAAATTCTCTCTTGAAAGGAGTGAAACTCTGGGACATGACAGAGCATGACTGGACATTTGTCAAATACTGTTTGTCTCCACAGCTAATGAGGCTTGAGGAGGCCAGGGACAGGTGGAAGTTGGGCAGTTCCCCTGGTGCTCACATTGTGGGAGGAGAATGTTGTGGAGGTGGGTGGTGGAAGCTGGGATTCAGGGACCCTGCCATCCATCTTCTGAGCTCCGTGAGGACAATGTGCCAATGACGGGGAGGTGATGAGCATGGTGATGTTGGTGATGCTGGTGCTGATGGTAAGGATGGTGCTGACTGTGGTGATGAGGATAGTGAAGATAACCGCGTTGTTCATTTTGAAATGGTGGTGATGATGATTACAATGGTGAATAAGGAGCACAGAGAGTTTTGTAAAATGCTGCTGCTGCTAGGGCCAGGTGAAGTAGCCTAGTGGCTAAAGTCCTCACCTTGCACGCCCCAGGATCCCATATAGTTACCAGTTCTAATCCCAGTGGCCCTGCTTCCCATCTAGCTCCCTGCTTGTGGTTTGGGAAAGCAGTGGAGGACAATCCAAGGCCTTGGGACCCTGAACCTGTGTGGGAGACCTGGAGAGTCTCCTGACTCCTGGATTCAATTCGGTGCAGCTCTGGCCTTTGAAGCCACCTGGGGAGTGAAACATCAGATGGAAGATCTTTCTCTCTGTCTCTCCTCCACTCGGTGTATGACTTTCCAATTAAAAAACTCCTGGTGCTGCTGGTGGTGGATGGTGGCCATGATGAAGTGGAGATGGTGAGAATGTTGCTGTTGGTGTCATGGATGACTATGACAGGAATGGTGATGAAGGGGATGACAGTGTGGGCAACCATGACGCTGGGATTGTGACGGCAGTGAAGCAGAGGAGAAAGACGCTGACAGCAGGAGGAGGAGGAGGGTTTTGGTGATGATGCTGGAGCTGGTAATGGTGAGGAATGGAGGAGGACGGTGATAAAGGAGAATGTGGTGATAATAAAGATGACCTGGCACGTTGGTCAATAAGATAGTGAAGGTGAGGAGGAGAATGACAGGACAATGGTGATGATAGTGATGATGAAGTACAGGATGATAGCAAACAAGAGTACGATGCGGGGTGACCATGCTCATGAGTAAGCTAATGAGGAGGAAGATGTTGACAGAGAGGAAGATGAGGAGTGAGGGTGGAAGCAGCACAGCACTGGGAGTGAGACCAGCCTTGCTTTAGTCACTTACTTACCAATCCACCTTGGAGAAATCAATGGCCCCATGGGCGCCCGTCTCTGCTTTGTCAGCAAGGCTCCTGAGGCTGCACTGATGGGCTTTGAGGTACCTGGTACCCAGTGGTCACCATGTTCAGTCCTGTGCTTTCCCTACCTTCCCGAGCTGTTGAGGGGGTGGTGAGCACTAACCCATTGCCCTTGGCCATAACCGTGCATCCTGGCACAGACAGGGCTAATGAGGGCAAGACTGAAGCCAGCAGCATCAGTGAGATGGGACTAGGGGTGACACTGAGCCTCCAGCCTCAGCTCTGGGAGGGCCAGGGCTCCCCGCCATCAGATCAACTCTCTCCTCTGGGCCTTGGATAGTGATGTCTGTGAGGACATCCACAGAGGTGTTAGGAGGTCGGGCAGGGAGTACATCCCAGGCAGAGGGGAATAGGCAGGTGTGCTCTGCATCCCAGAGTCTTCCAGCACCCCAGTGTCCCCCATCATCTTCATCACAGAGCAGGCTGGGTGTGCTGGCTACCGGAGATGCACTGCAGTGTCTCTTACCAATGTTTCCACAGTCCTCAGAGAAGGGCCAGGTCCTGTGCTGGGTGGGCGAGGGGCTCTCCAGGGGACCAGGAGGGGTGGTACACATGTGTGGATGGGAAGGTCCAGTGTGGGACCAGCTCCTTGCTTCTCCCAGGCTGTGAGTGTGGTGGATTTTATCTCAGTCTCTGGGTCCCAGACCTGGGCTTCGGGAAGAGCCATGTGTGGGAAAACAGGAAGGAAAGAAGCTCCTTCTTGGGGACAGCAGCACCCGGACTGATGCTTTGTCATCCCAAGCCCTGGTTAGGCCAGAGGATTCAAGTCACTGGACTGCCACCACATAGCTAAGGATGAGAGGCAGAGTCAGATTTCCCCTGGAATCCATGAGTCAGGCTGCAGGTTCAGATCCAAATATGCAGGTTCAGATGCAACTGCAGTGGCCCAAGTGGTGCCAAAGGATTTTGAAATCCAACGTAAGACCTCTCACCCCTTGTCTCTCTCGCACCCTTTTCTCAGCAAGACTCCCCTGGCAACCACTGGGGTGGAAGCAGCCCCAGGGCAGCCCATCTGCTGAGGGACCTGCAGGCTCAGAGCAAGTGGCAGGTGTGAGGGCTCATGGGGATTGACATTTCCCTGGGCAGCATCTCACTAGGTCAGAGTGAATTGACTAATATTTCACAGAGGAGGCAAGTGGAGCACAGTGAGGTGGGTGGGGCTTGTCACAGCTTGCTTGCCAGAAACTGTTCATCTGAGCCCTAGCTCTGTGCTGTGCCAGCACCCCAGGACTCCCCACTGTCTACATCACAGACCCACCTGGGTGTCCCAGCTGCTTGGGTGCTTGACCTCAAGTCTCTTGCTTTTGGTCTCTGATCTTTTCCTAACCTCCAGGAAGGTCGTAGCCAGCAGGATGGATCCCCTCAGACCAAAGCAACCCATCTGAATCACCGAGACTGAGACCGGTTCCTGGGTACCACAGGCTGGCCAGCCGCAGTCCAGAACAGCAGCAGGACACTGTGCATGCCCAGGGCTGTCACAGTTGCCTGGGACTTGGTGACTTCAGGATGCCCATCTCAGGGCCACCCTGGCACTGCCTTCCCTCTGGTATCCTGAGATACGGCTGGGGCTTGGCTGGCCCTGCTGGGGTCTGGATAGCAATGACACAGATAGCTCTGACACAGGAGTGAAAAGTTACTTGACTTGGTTTACTTCTGCTGACCTCTGATGGACAGGAAGACCCTGAGATGGAAGTACGTGTGGAAGTGCAGGGCCCTGAGCAGAGGCTCCTGGAGAGGCGGCCAGGCCTGTCACAGGCTCTGGAGGGCAAGCTGCAACGGCACAGTGGCAGACAACAGCAGTACCAGGAAGAAGCTGGGCTGGCACACAGTGCCCACTTCGGGAATAGGGTTATTGGTCATGGCAGGGGGCTTCTCCTGAGGAGGAACTGAGGAGGGGTTGGGGGCGGGGTTGCCCTGCTGCTTTTCCTTGATCCAGTTGGCAAAGTAGGTGATCCTGACAAAGACGCTGTAGCCAATGGGACTTTGGCAGTCCCAGTTCCAGCTGCTCAACCCCACCACATGCCAGGCACCATTCAAGAAGCAGGACAAGGGTCCCCCAGAGTCTCCCTGAGGAGAGAGAGTGCTGAGTTAGTGAGGGTGGGAGCAGGGAGGGATGGGAGAGGCACTCCTGTCTTTCAAGCTCATTGGTCAAGGCAATCAGCGTCTCCTTTGATATGTGAGTGAATGTTAGGACCACTGGAGGCAATGCTCAGAGACCTCATGGGCAGGGACCACATAATCAGAGATCTCAGGGAGGAGTACAGAGAGGAACTAGCCCCAGAGCCCTGTCCAACAGACTGCTGGAACGTGCAAGAACACACGGGGCAGCCCTGAGGAGCAGTGAGGGGACCCAGCTCCTGCCCTGTGCCCAACAGTGGCCAAGCTGTTCACTTCCTTGGGCCACTTACTTCCTCCCCAGGCCTGTGTTTCACCCACATGAAATGCAAAGGTTACACAGAATGGGGGCAGGCGTTCATAATATGCATGTGTGGCCATGGGCCTATATCCATAATCTATCAAGAGCTCTGAAGACCCAACACGGAAGACACACTGCCGCACGGTTGAGCAACTTCTACCCTAGAATGTGTGGACAGCTTATGGAAAAGGCAATCAAGATGTGTGCTTCTCTTCACCAGGTCATGGAGAAAAGCTAACTAGAAGCCAGCCCTGATGGTCTGAATGAAAACTGCAGATATCTGACTTTAGGTGTGTGTCAGGGTGACACCCAGAGGGTGCTGACCTTGCCTGCGTCACTTACTCGGCAGATGCCCTTTTCAACGTTGGTGTCTCCGGCACATAGCATGTCTTCCTGCACAGTCACAGCCTGGTCTGGCGGTATGGCTGGGTGAGGAATGTAAAACTTCTCACATCTGTCTTGGTCTATGAGGCTGACCTTGGCTTCCTGCAGGTGGAATGGCGCTGGCAGGAAAACTGCAGGAGGAGACACAGGTGTGAGGGTGGTTGGAGCCACCCCTCCCCGTCTGGCACCTGCTTGCCAGTGAGAGGAGCACAAGCAGCACAAGGGCTGGAGAAGGCCTCTCTGAGGATGTGCTTAGCCCAGGGCAGAACAATGAGGGTGTCAGGGTGAAGGGCGGGCGGAGACAAGGCTGGGGACAGAGGTCAGGGTGGCTGCAAAGACGTGGGGGTGGAGAGGGAGGGCTTAGCAGGATGACAGCTGTGAGCAGTCAGGTTTAGCAACATGTGACCACTGGAAACTTGGTCTTGGCTGGCACCCTTGAGGCAAGCTCCCTTCTGGGCAGTGTTTTCTGTGTATAGGCTACAATCATTAGACTCCAAGTTTGATTCAGTTCCAAAATCTTGATCAGGGTAAGAGCTGGACAGACAAGGGCTACTGAAGATCAGGTCTTTGCCTGTTCTCAGCTGCTCTCTGCCCTAATGGCTTCTCCAGCCCTGACCCAACTGGAGCTGTGACTCTACACTCAGAGCTGCCTTGGACAATCCTCTTGGCCTGCTCTTGTGCTTAGTGAAGGAGTGTCCCTCTCAGCTGTGCCAGGGACTGGGCGATGTGACTGACACTGGGTTAGGAGAAGAGATGCTAATGCTGGCAAGCCCATCAGAAAAAATCCTGTTACAGAATTGGTCACCGAGATCTCCTGTCATTGCATTAGCTACTTGATCTTAAGAGCATCTCCTATCACAAGTGTATGTCTATAGCTCATTAGCATATCACATTATGTAACAGTTCTCTTTCCATGCAGACTACCCTCCCTCTTTTTCTGTCTGCCCCTTACAACTCACCATCCTCAGTGAGCCTCCCCCAGCCACTTATCCAGCACGAGCTATTCATGGGCACCACTGTTGAGTTGTCTGGCAGGCAGGCTGGCAGGATGTGAGAGTTGAAATCCACTGGGACATCCAGTTGTAGCAGGGTGATGTCACTCCCGAAGCGGTACTTCCTGTTGTAGTCTTCATGGACGATGACTTTGTTGACTCTCATCTGCCGGCTGAACTTGGTGGGGTGGCTGAGCTGGTTGTACCCTAGCAGGATGCGGTAGTCTGATGGGCTTCTTGACCTG